TGGCCCTGTAAATAACAAAACCAGTAGTGGAACGCAACTAGATTGCTGCTGCGATAATCCTTTGGGCAGCGAACATCCTCCTAAAATTTCAGCTCCCAGCTCTTCTGATTCCCAAATTAGCAATTTTCCGTCAAAACTTTCCAAATGCTGTATATGAGTCGCAAACGCACGTGAAAGTCGTTGTCGCATTTTTGTGGCCGTGTTTGGTGAAGGGACAAAAACAGGGAAAACGTTAGCACCTAAGCAACAACGCTGCACAGAAAAACGCACAAAGAAGACGCCTTTGGAAGGGAAAGAAAACAGAGCTGGCCAATTTCAAACGTGAAAGGCATGAACAAACCCCTCTGTGCTAGCTCCAACAGTCGGCCACGATTTTCGAAATTCTCAATGAGTTGCTCCATCTCAAAATCGGCATCCTGAGTGGCCGTCTTGTAAATTTCGCAAAGGTTTTCACTTTTCTGTAGCTCTTCCTCCAATTTATTCACCATTTGCGCCTTTTCTCCCAGTACCTTGAAAGACAAATCTCCACAAAATGACAAAAGAAGAAATCAATTCTAATCATTAGGAACGCTGAACTTCAAAGAGTAGCCCTACCTCCTTTATACGAACGTTTAGTCGAGCAATTTCGGCTTTGTAATCAGCAAGTACTGAAGACATTCTTTCAACATCTGCCTTAGCCGATTCATATTTGTCTGTTGCAGAGCTAGCTTCGGCCTGAAGTTCGCTTGAAAGCTGGATCTACAAAAGTACTATCAATAAACGATTGTCACAAAGAAGTGGTAAAAAGTGGGAAATGCGGAAACAGTGCGGAGTGTGAATACCTTTTCAAGCATTAGCGCTGTTAACTTCCTGTCGCGTTCCTTGATTTCATTCAAATACCAATCTTTAGCATGCAAGTAGCTTTCTTTCTCCTTCTCCCACAGCTGTTTCTCTTGCTAAACAGTCTTTAATTAAGAAAAATGTCCATTCACGAGGAAGAGCGAAGTGCTAGTAACATCAGTGACATAATACCTCAAACACTCGTTTTTCCTCCGCAGAGTCGCCCAGCTGAGTTTCAAGCAATACGTTTTCCTCCAATAACTTCGCTTTTTCATCCATTTGTAGTTGCAAATCACCTCCAAATAATGACATTATTTCAGAAAAAAAAAAAAAAAAAACACTGCCCATCTCAAACACCCGCGAAATTTCGCTTTAAGGAAAGATATAAGGGCATCTAAGATTGCTTGCAGAGCAATGCTGCGATTGCTGAACATTGCTCTTTAGACTAAGAGTGATAGAAAGCATTCCGTTGCGTTTATCGTAAATTACGCCAACTTTAACAAAAAAAAAAACACGGAAGATGAGACAATGCAGCCAAAAAAGATTTAGTGGTAAAAGACTGACTTGAAAGAAATGATATGTTATACATGAGTGTGTTTATATTCGCTTCATAGTCTTCATTTCGACGGAGCAGCATATCAGCCTTTTGCTGGCATTCATTCTAAATTTACAGCTCCTTGGTATAGTTTAATTCCTCACGCAAAAAAAGCTTAACAGTGAAAAAAATTGTTAATTTCGTCAAAAAATAGAACAATGCTTGTTAAAAGGAAAGCTCGAGAATATTTTACCCCCAAATAAAATGTCAATAAAAGGAGGACCTTTGCAAGCACCATTTTATCACGCTCCATCTCGTGTTCAAGCATGATTGCCATTCGCTCCTCTCGTTCGCGCAAAAGCGCCTCATTTTCCCTCTCCAGAGCATCTTTTATTTCGGCAATCATCGAAAATCTCTGGCACACCGAATCCAACTCCTCGCTCTTCAAAAATAGCCTCTGTTCTGCAATAAAAAGAAATCACGGAAACTGAAAACAATTGCTATTCATGTGATAAAAAAAGGGGTGCGGACTTCCTTTTTGTGCTGCCAGTACTGGGCTTTGGTGGAGTAAGAATCAGACATTGTACAAATCTACAGAGTAGTTGCGGCCAAAAGCCGTAACCAAAGGGGGTTAGGTTAGGTGGTGGAACAAATGGAACGATTCCTGGCTTGGCTTCCAGTCCAGCTCCTCAGAAAATCATCCATCGCTTCCAGACAACACGTCCCACTGGTCAGTGTTCCCGCTCTTGTCGTCCCACACTAATACACGGCGTTTATCAGCGGTCAGCAAGGCAAACGACATCTCCCAACTCAGGCTCCCTCAATCACAGAACGCTTTATTTTCT